CTATGCTTTAGGCCCAACTAGAAAAGAGACCCTCACGGCTGCTGCTGTCAGCCCAGTATGAGACCAAGAGGGGATGGAGAAGAGATGTCCCGTTCTTCTGCATCCCAGCCCAGAGCAGGGTGATTTCCGTCAGCATCCTGAACAGATGCTGCCCCTGTCGGCACCTAGGAGGGGAGGATAGAGAGAATGTTTTAAGGAAACCATTGGCTCCCCTCTGGGAGTTGCCAGGGGGGTAGGGGAGCTCCTGGCGGCCACATTAATACAGTTGCTGTGGCTGTCTTCAGCCACTAAGAAGGGAATGATAAGTTTACTCTGACATAAGCATGCTCTGCTCCTAAAGAAAGAAATCATTCCAAGCAAAGGAAAACTCAGTTATTTAATTAAGCTTGTCACTACCTGACAGTTGTTTGCAAGCATTTTTGGAAAATGGATGTTTCTTCCAGCCTGTGGAGCCACTGAGCAGAAAGGTTGAAGGGGTGGCTGCCCTGGCGGGTCTCTGTGATGACCCTGAGGTGTTGTCTGCACAGAACCCCAGGAACTGCTCTGTGAAGGGCAAATGGGGAAATCCGAGATGGAGGCATCTTGTCTCCGAAGTGAAGTGCTCTGATTTGTTAAAGAATCGCCGAGGACTTCTTTTTCAGTTACAGCTGCCTTGGCCTGCAGAGACTTTATTCAGGGTGTCCTGAGTAGGCCCGGACGGAGTCTGTGTCCTAGCAAGCTTCCCAGAGGGTTCGGATACCGGTGTGGAGAGAGCGAGACCCGTGGCTTCTGCTCAGTCCATGTTGTCCCCAGCTCATTTGGGTGGGATCCTTGTGGAAGGGTGAAATAGCGTTGAAGCGGGGTTTTGTCTTTAAGAGAAACAGCATCCTGGTGGTCTCTCCCTCCTCTCAATGTCAGTGCTGGAGCAGGCGTCTTGTGGCTCTCAGCCCCCTGTCAGTGACTCAACCAGCTGTGACCATGGGTCTCCACCACTCCCACCAACCTCTTCCAGCCCTTTTGGTTTCCTGTCCTATCCCCTCTTTTTAAAAAAGGCCAATCATTTCACATATCTCATCACTCCAACAAACAAATCCTGAGGTACAAGTTAATTATGTTTATAAACAAATATCAAACTGGCTTTCTTTGATAAATGTAGGCAACCAGTAAGTATATAGGAAAAAATAAGAACAAATCCTTAAAAGTCAAATTTTAATAATAAAGTTCCCAGTGAGATACCACTATATGGCCACCGAAATAGCAGCATTGAGAAACTTCGAAGCGTTAATGGTGGAATGTGGAGAAACTGGACCCATCATGCATTGCAGATGGGAATGTAAAATCATGCAGCCACTTTATAGTGTGTTCATATTTTCAATAGAGGAACAAAACTTACTGTACAGCCTAACAGTTGTACTACCAGGAATCTGCCCAAGAGAAATGAAGACATACTTGTACACACAAGCTCACATGTGGATGTTGGTGGCATTATTCTTTATAATAGCTACAAACTGAAAAACAATCTAAATTGTCCATTAGGTGATGGCTAGGTGAGCAAAACATGGTATAGTCATACACTGGAAATGTAATTTTAAATTGAAAAATGAAGTTCTGATATATGCTGCATGTGAACAAACCTTAAAAATATACTCAGTGAAGATGCTGAGACAAAAAGCTCACCTTGTGTCATTCCATCTATATGAATCTAGAAAATGCAGGTTTGGAGACAGCAGAGCTATGGTTGTCGGGATCTACAATCCAGTTGACTACAAATGGTTTTAAGGAGGCTGGAAGTGTTCAAACTGGACTGTGGTAATCTGTATACTCCATTACAGTTATACAAGGGGAGTTTTATGGAATGTGACTTTACCCTGTGAGGCTGATCATCTTTTTTACACGGTGTGCACCATAATCAGTGCAGTAAGCTCCTTTTCTGTGTGCTCGCAGGGTGGTCTGCACAACCCTTGAGTCCCCAGGAGCAAATAGATGAGACTGCCTGATCTTGGACTTTTACTCCCCAAACTGAGCTAAATAAGCCTCGTTTTCTTTTGTAACAAATTACCGAGCTTCCGGTATTTCATCATAGCAACAGAAAACAATGATCAGTAGTCAGCGTGTACTGGCCACCCCATCATGACTCACAGTAGAAAACTAATTTCCATTTTCACTTAAGATTGCCCTCAATGAAGCAATATAAATTAAATTTCATTGCGTCTGGTGCTTGGAGGCATCTCTTTTTGACAGCCTTGCAAGGCAGTAAGAGATGTGCATAAAGCATTTCCCTTGCCTACCCAAGGACGGTGTCTTCCTGAAGAAAAGCACTTGCGCAGTTGATAGAGTTGTTAGCAGAATTAGCAGCCCTTTCTTTAAATGGGATAGCATAGCTCCTTTAGAGCAAAGATCCTGGATGCTCAAACCTGGGAGTTTGACACATCATTTCCTCAAAAAAATGAATGAGAGAGATTGTCACTTCAAGGAAAATCATTGGCAGGGATTTGGTTTTTGTTTTGCCAGTGATAAAATTCAAACCTTAACCAAAAACTGTAATGTTGGAAAGCTTTGTGTCTACAATTATGAACTTGACAACAGTCAAGAGATTTCTGGTGGTATGGGTGGAGGGTTCAACAAATGCATTTTTTTAAATAATGTGAATGAAATGTCAAGTTTTGGAGAATATAGATAGAAGTATTGGTCCTAAACATTTGAGAACTGTGACCTAGTAACTAATAGTATGAACTCTAGAGTCTGGCTACCTGGGTTCGGATCCCAATATCACCACTCATTACTTATATAACCTCCGTTAAGTTCTTCATCTCTCAGTGCTTCAGATTGCTGATCTGTAAAATGGGAATTGAGTGACTAGGCCTGGTGGTATACACTGTAATCACAGCATGGTAAAGCTAAGGAATGAGGCTCGAGACTGCAAGACCAACACTGTCTCGAGAAAGAGAGAGAGAGACAGAGAGAGAGAGACAGAGAGAGAGAGAAATAAAATGGTACCTAACTCAGATGCTGTAGGTGTAAAAATGAGTTAATGTATGCAAATATTTATGAACACTAAGTCAGTCAATATACGTAAATTAAAATACTGTCTTAAGTAATCAATGAGTTGTTACTGTTAGTCTTGATGAATTATAATTTGTAAAATAAATGAAGACATAAGTGCATAGTAGAAAGTTTTGCCATTGAGTCTCTGTCATATAGGAGTTTGTTCTTAACAAGTATGCATAATAGGTTTTATAAGTGAGATTTGAAGAGGTAATATAAATAGGTTACAGTTATGTGACATTTCAGTTCCCTGCCTCTGTGGTGTTTGTTGGGAATTATGGTGTATCATTTGAGCTCTAGGAATTTGGGAGATTATGTGACCAGAGGGGCAGATCATACCTGCCCACTTTCAGTGTCTAAGAAAATGTACAGCTTCCAGGAGAAAGTGACCGCTTGGGAGAAACCTGTGTGCTCAACCCTGCCGGGAGGCTTCCTTTAAGCTGTTTTCTTCTCTAAGATGTACAGAGAGGCGAGTCCTTCACTGCCCTGTTCGGGTGCTCTGCTTCCTTGTGCAGAACACCCTGTGTGATGCTTGAGGCCCTTGTCAGGCAGCACAATCCCAATGGGAAACAGTGGCCATTGGGCCTGGGCTCCTGGAGCTGCTGTGGTAGTGTGCTGATTCTCCCACCTGCCTTGTGAAAGGTCTAGTAACCATCTGTTGATCCCTGTCTGCCCCAGCAGAGCAAACAGTATACCGTCCATACTTCTTTCTAAATGTGTTTTGTTCATCGTTGGGGAGCATGGCCAATACAGCACGCATGTGGAGAGAGCTTTTGGAGTTAGTCCTCTCCTGGCACCATGGGCTCTGGGGTGCACCTCAAGGCATCAGGCTTGTGGAATCAGTACTTTTACTCACTGAACCATCTCACCAGCCGTATTTTATACTTCTTAAATGCTCGTGAATACGTTATTTTGGTATAAAGAAGGTAAGGTAGCCTGTAGGAGAATGGTAATTGTTTTCCTTTCCTATGAAATTACTATATTTTTAGAGCGCTGATATTATGCAGACCCGCTCGTGTTTGATAGTAAATAACAACCAGCCAGAGCATGTAAAAGTTGCTGGGATTTCACTGACTCAAATGGTGTCGACTCTCTTCAGAGAAACAGGGACACCAAAGAGTCCATTTGGGGTCCATTTGTTTCATGGCATCCAGGCTACTCTGCATGTGCTGAAGCTGGTAAGCTAGTCCACTGTGGTATTTAACTATATTACATAGTGGTCTCTTCAGTTTGGGCCACAATTCAGGTTCCTCAAGGATGAACAGCCTCCTGTTAATGAATGTTCTTTCCTTCCACTTTAAGGGTATGTTCTTGAAGCTACGCATAAAGACCTTGTGTATGTCTCTAACAGCATGAGATGGTAGTCCTTTTGAGATAGTACATTTTCTGATAGACCAACACTTTAACACCTGAGTATTTCTTTCCCATGTGGCTGCTGTGCTGGAAATACAAAATCATGTCACACTACAAGCCAATGACTTTTATTAATCCAGTAGAATCTAGTCCCAAAGTTTACTGTGAAGTGGAACTATTAGTCATTTGTAGCCAGGCCCTTGTCCTTGTCCCAGCGAGGGCCTTATTCACACTCTGTGTCTTCGCCTCTGCACTACAGCCAGTTCACCTGGACAGGCAGACAGTGCCTGCGATTGTCCTGTCCTCCTCTCTCTGACACTGGGGACCTCTTGTCCAGTTTTTTACTACTACAAATGGGTATTTAACCGATAGCCACATGCTGTTTTCTAAACACAGTGGTACCTGTTAGAAAGCCAACTCTTTTCATTACAGTACTTCCTGTTCCAGTGTCTGGTGGGTTCTGCCTGTATTGTGTAACATCTTTACAAGGACCTTTGTGTTTGTGACGTTTCCAGCTTCAGTTGAGGGGCTCCAGCAGATCAGAGAAGTTCAGGATGAAATTGCTCGCTATCACCTAACCACGGGTTCTCATCTTGTCTTTCACATATGTGCTTGTGTTTCAGGAAAAAAGTGCCAGCTCAAATGCAAGGCTTAAACCTAATAAAGAAATCCCTGGATTGGTCCATCAACCCAGAGCAAAGTAAGTTCTGCCTTCTGTTTTCCTTAAAACTCCATTTTTGCCCATCAGGTAATCAAGGTTTATTATAAAGCTTTAGTAATTGAGAGAGTAAACAAAACATACTCTCAGAACATCCTCAGTGCATATTCCAAGCTGACACTGTCAGGCCGTTTAGTAAAATAAATAAGTAAGAGGGATAGCTTTATGGCTCTCAGATGGGGAGAGCTTCATTAAGATATAAAACATATACAAACCTTAAGGAAATTTGCTAATTGATGGCTGCATTAAAATTATGACCATATCTTCATTAGAAAATACTTAAAATTATGAACATATCCTCATTATAATACACAGTAAGACAGTAGAGGTTGCAAAAAAGAGAATGATGTATAAATGACAGTGTAGATTTTCCAGAATATAGAAAATAATTCTAAAAATAAAATTGCAAAATCCAGAGACTAGGCTAACACATGAACAGCCATTTGGCCAAAGAGGAAACCTGAGTGGCTGGTCTGTTTGAAAATCATGTTATTTAATTCCATCAGATTCTCAAAAATGTCTAAATCTGACAACGTAGAAGTTGGCCAGACTACGAATACCAGATCCCCTGTAACCCCCTGCTGGTGGGTTACACAGCAGTGTAACTGGGGGGCGGGGGCAGGGGGGGTGCAGTTTTGCTATCTAGGAAAGTTGAAGCTAAGCAAACTTTACCTTCCAGCAACTCCAGGGGCAGGTGTGTGCCCTTGAGAAACAGTTCACATTTGTGCTGGGAGACATTTTGGAAACTTCATTAACAGCAGTTTAGATAAGCTTTTAGAAGTAAAACCAAGTGTCTATCAGTAATATAATGGGTAACAATGCTGTGGCGTGTTCTTCTGATGGGAGTGCTACATGTCAGTCAGTGAAAATAAATGAGGTAGGGACATGTTACACACATCAGGGCGGGCATCCTCAGAACAGTAAGTAGGAGGATGGTCCTTTAAAATCAAAGACATAAATAAGCAATATTTTGCGTATAAGTATGTAGCAAAAATAACAAAGACGAGCCAAGAAGTAGAAAAGCAATAAGTCAAAAATGGTGGCTCCTGACTGGATGAGACACAGCTGGACCCAGAGGCTCTCTCTCTCCTAATCTGAGTGGTAATTACATGATTGTACATAATTATAAGAGATCTTTAAATATATGTTGTATCTAGTACGTCTCCTTGTGGCGTGGGTGCTTGAAGATATTTTGATACTATCATGGCTTCCAACAGATGAACACTCATTAATCGTTTTAATAAAATAGCTAATATCCTGGGCATGGTGGTGCATGAGTGTAATCCTAGCACTTAGGAGACAGAGGCAGGAGGATTGCAGCACATTCCTGGCCAGTCGGCTAAGTGACTTCCAGGCAAACCAGACTACAAAGCAAGAAGCTGTCATTAAAAAAAAAAAAAAGGCAGTAAATAAAATAGTGTATTAAAAAAAATAAACATTGGGGCTGGAGAGATAGCTCAGAGGTTAAGAGCACTGACTGTTCTTCCAGAGGTCCTGAGTTCGATTCCCAGCAACCACATGGTGGCTCACAACCATCTGTAACGAGATCTGGTGCCCTCTTCTGGCCTGCAGTCATACATGCTGTATACGTAATAAATAAATAAATAAATCTTTTTTAAAATAAATAAATAAATAAATAAATAAACATTGACTGTCTTTCTAGATTGTTCTAGGGCCAACTCCATATTGATGATAAAATTCCCTTTGTGACCATGAAACTATCGTTATATTTCTTAAGAGAGGCTGTTAATCTTTACTGTGGTGCTCTGCTTAAGACGGAGTAAATTCCTAGGGATGCAAGCATATTTGGCATATGTCATCTTCTCCCTGTTCTGACTGTTACATCAAGACCATAGCAGAAGAAGCAACATATTATTGCTGGGCCTTCCTGGAAAACTGAGATGTAAACCACCTGCTTCATGATCACTGTGATGGCTATTCTTGGTTGTTAATGTAACTACATCCGGAATTAACTAAAACCCAAATGACTGGACACACCTGTGAGGCCTTTTTTCTTGATCAAATCATTTGAAGTATGAAGACGCACTTTTAATCTGGATCTTTGAGCTGGGAATACACACCTCTAATCTGGGCCATACCTTCTGCTGGAAGCCTGTATAAAGGGCATAGAAGAAGAAAGCTTTGGCTCTGTCTGCTTGGCTCTCAACCTTGCTAGCAAGTCCATTCCCCCACGGGCATTAGAGCCTATGTTTTCGGATTCCAGTGTATACTGAAGACCAGCAGAGACATCCAGCCTTGTGGACTGAACAACTACTGGATTCTTGGACTTTCCGTTCATAGGCAGGCATTGTTGGATTAGCTAGACCACAGCCTGTAAACCATTCTAACAAAACCCCTTTAGATAGATAGATATATAGGTAGGTAGGTAGGTAGGTAGGTAGGTAGGTAGATAGATAGATAGATAGATAGATAGATAGATAGATAGATAATAGACAGACGATAGATAGATAGATATAGATACTCATTTTATAAGTTCTGTTCCTTAGAGAAGCCTTACTAATACGATCACTTTGTCCCAGCCCAGTGTCTGTGAGTTGCTAGGGCCTAGACCCATATGGTGGCAGTTAGGACTCTTCAGCATGTGGGGAAAGGACTAAGAGATTCGATGCTCACTTCAAAGAAAAATGAATACTTACAAATCCACTTAAGGGACTGGAGAGATGGCTGAGCCATTAAGAGCACTGGCTGCTCTTCCAGAGGACCCAGGTTCAGTTTTCAGCACCCACATGGCAGCTCACAACGTGTCTGTAACTGCAGCTCCAGGGGATCTGACACCTGTATACCAATGCACATAAAATAAAGTTAAATTTTTTTAATTGAAAATAAATAAATCCACTTAAGGTTGACTGTGTCAGAGTAATGGTGCAGCTGATTATCTCCCACTTAGACCCATGCTGCTGGCCACTAGGCCCTCCCCAGGCAGCCTCTCTGATCCTAGTCACTGAGGTGCACTTTGTCTTTGGAAACCACAAGACACCTGATAACACAGCCAATCACTTTTCCATGCAAGCACCCTGAAATGGGCTCTTCTTTTAAAAAGCATCCCTTAGCTCTGAGTTTTAGGGGATGACTGCATTGATGGATGCTGCTCAAGCCTGCTAGAGCAGTAGTTCTCAACCTGTGGGTTGTGACCCCTTTGGGGTCATATGACCCTTTCACAGGGATCTCCCAAGACCATCAGAAAACAGGTAATTACATTACGATTCGTAACAGTAGCAAAATTACAGTTACGATGTAGCAACAAAAGTAATTTTATGGTTGGGGGTCACCACAACATGAGGAACTGTATTAAAAGTTTACAACATTAGGAAGGTTGAGAACCACTGTGCTAGAGAGAACACTTTATTTAACCTTGACACCTGGAAGCTACTCGGTCTGCAGGGAGAGACTGGACTACAGCTCTTAGAGATATATAAAAAAATAGACTCATGCCGGGCGGTGGTAGCACACGCCTTTAATCAAAGCACTTGGGAGGCAGAGGCAGGCGGATCTGTGTGAGTTTGAGCCTGGCTGTGCTGATCTGAAGCCTGCCGTAAAGTAACATCCAGGACCATAGCAGAGGGAAGACCAACAGCACTCCCACAAGAGACAGCGAGAGAACAGTGTCAAGATCAGGTACAGAACTAAAGCACCGGGCGCTTCGTGGACAGCCAGCCAGCCCTGCCCGTGCTCATGGCCCTGAGTGTCACAGTATTGGCAGGAGAGTGTGGTGATTGAAGACTCCAGGAATGGCCTCTCGTCAGCGAGGGAACCCTGGCGATGGTTATAGTGGGCCCTCCATTGAAAGAGCGTACAGCAGGACAGGTCTGCCCCCGGAGTAGCTCAGCTGAACAAAACGCTTTGACACTTAAGCAGGTAAAGCCGTGAGGGAGCTGGGAAAACTCCGTGCACACGCTGGCTTTTTCTGCTCACGATTCTGCAGAGCGAAGACTGTTTGCTCACTTCATCCCAGCCGCTTGCCCTGCCTTTCAAATCTGCCTCCCAGAGAGGGTCCAGTTCCCGAATAGAACATTTCCCCTGTTCGCGCGATTTCGTAAAGGCTGGCAAAATTAAGACGCTATGTGTGAAAGCACTTTGTCAACTGTGAACCGATTAGTGGCGTCACAGGTGTGCGTTGTTTTTGTTTCATAGCAAGGCTGACGGCGCGTACTCACAGATTTCCAGTCGTGGCCTTACACCCAGAGGAGAGCTGCTCGTGGGAGCCCAGTTCATGGAAAGCCTGAAGGGTTTCAGGACACTTGTGTCCTCCTGTGGCCTCGAAGGTGTGAGGCGTCATGCTCAGGGCACATAGGTGGGCCTCTCCCCACACTGAGCATAAAGAAACTGTTCTAGGCCTGCCCTCCACCCTTGTCCCCAGACACTGCAACCAATGTAGTATGTGTGTCTCTCACCCAGGGCCCTTCACCTCCATGGAGTACCAATGAGTATCATCAGGCTAGAAGGACCACGTTAGCACTTGAGGCCCATTTCCCAACTATGATCCCTGCCCTCTTTGACTTCTTCTGTGGTAACCCCAACAACAAATAACTAAGCTGGACAAGCATACATGGGGTGAGGGTGACTTGAAGGCACTTCTTAATTTACCCGGTATTCCAGTGGAATTTCAGTTGCTAAAGGTGCAGGAACTGGTCAGGGGCGGGTTCAGGCAGTTGTCCCGTCCTGTGTACTTACGTACTCATATAATCAGCTGGCTGTGTCGGCGCTACAGCATCTGTAGGAGACGTGCTTCAGTGTACCGAGAATCATTTTCTCTGTCACACACAGGACTGACAATGCCACATGTTTCATGTCTTGTCTTTGTTCTTTTAAAATCCCAAATGTGTTTTGGAAGAAAAGAAAATTGGCAGGCTCCACCCAGGAACATCAATATAAGTGACCCCTACACTTTATGTGAGAGTTATATTCCTTAAGTCCTGAGCGCTTGTAGACTTAGGGGTTGTCTGCAAGATCAGGGCAATGGCATCTTCTAAAGCAGCATTGGGGGTATTTGGTGGGAAAGTCTGCAGTGAATAACTGTCTGCCTCAGAGCTTACAGGTTCACCATCACTAACTTGAGAAGGTGAGGTTCAAGGGAGCATTGAAATACATGCTAACTCTTCTTTGTTTTCCAGCATGCACATCTCTGAAAGCCAACAAGAATTCTTCAGAATGCTGGATGAGAAAATTGAAAAGGTAAGATATCAAAATAAATAAATAAACTACATTGTTTCAAGATAAATCTTACTAATTTTTAAGTTGGGATAATGATACTTTTACCCCTGTGTGCTAAAACTTCTGGCAAAGGATTGGACAAGAAGTTAAAACAATAACAAAAAAGAGTATATATGAAAATGATGTGTTAGACCTCAGAGTCGTAGGCTATTCCGGCTCATTCAAGTGAGTCAAATAGGTAGAGTCCATTTGACTATTTTCCCTTCCTAGATTCATGTCCCAGCTAATGCAGTTTGTAATTTCCTCATGCTAAACACAAAGATCTGAAGCAAGGATACTCATGAGAGAGAATACGTGGTTTTCTTTTACTTTTTGTGGGTGTTTTATCTGGACAGCTCTTCCTAAAATCCTGCCTTATGGTTACACTATTTAGTGCAAGATGGAGATGATCTTAAATTCATAAGGATTTCAGAGTAGATCCAGTTTGGAAGTAGAACTATGAAAGAGTAAGTTCATAGTCTTCTCTCTCATTGAAAGACCAGCAATGTCAAGGACATCACAAGAAAACCCACAGAAACAACTAACCTACTCAGAGGAGCTCACGGAGTCTGAACCAACAGCCAGGGAGCCTGCATGGAACTGCCTAAGCCCTCTCTATATATGCAACACTTGTGTAGCTTGGTCAATTTGTGGGTCCTAACACTGGGAGCAGGGGCTGTCCCTAATGCTTTGGCTGGCTGTTGGGAACCTGTTCCCCATACTGGGTTGCCTTGCCCAGCCTGAATGGAAGGGGAGGTGCTTAGTCTTACTGCAACTTGATAGGCCACACTTTGTTGACACCCATGGGAGGCCTGCCCCTTTCTAAACAGAAACAGAGGAGGAGTGATGTGGGGGAGGTGACGGAGGGGAAGTGGGGGAAGGGAATCGGAGAAGAGGAGGGAGGGGAAACTGGGGTTGGGATGTAAAATAAATAAATCAATTAAATTTTTAAAAGGAAGACCAGCAGCTGCCACCAATGTAAAAGCTAGAGGTGGATAATGATTTTAAATGGTACTCTGTAGAGTTCCCTGCCTGTATAGAAATATTTTGTGTTTTTTTATTTTTAGTAAAATATTGGCATATGCCTGACTTGACATTGAAAACTTCATTTCAGATCAATTACCAAGTCTCACATATTGGTTCAAAAGATGTTCAGCATGCTGATACCGTTTTGTTTAGTAAAGAATAGCAAAAAAAAAAAAATTGTTCCCACTGTAATGATAAAGATCTTTTCTATTTCTGTTTATTTGGCTTTTTCCACTCCTAGCTCTCTTTTGGCAATAAAGAAAGATTGCTCAGTGGTTCAGGGTGGACTGGAAAATCTGAAACCTGCATTTTAAGTTAGGTTTTCAACAGTTCTGAGCTCTGACAAGGCATTAAGATGATCTCGTCCCTTCCCAGCAAGTTCCCATGACTGGCACTCTGTCTCCTTTTACTCAGAACCAAGTTCATTGTTGCTGTGTAAAGCAAGATTTCCTCTTGCACCTAGGATCAAGCATGACCTGTTGGGCACCAACCAAAACACCGTTTCTGACTTAACCATGCGCTGGGTAGAACCTTCCCTAGACAAGGAGTATTTTAGATTCAACATGAACAATGTCCCCACTGTTGGACACCTTGTCTTTTCCTTTTTCTTCTTTTGTGTTTGGTTCTGAAATCAAACCCAGAGCCTCGTTCATGGTGCCTGCTGGGTTAGTGCCCTGCTTCTGTGCTGTGCCCCAAGCCCAGATGTTTAAATGTAAAAGAAAGCTGTTGCTCCATCTGCCATACACCCGCTTGCTTTGTACAGATAATCCCCTGGCCTGTAGGCTGTGTCTTTCTGTTCCTCCTCGCCTCTCTGAAATTCATCCTTCTGTGTATGCTGTTCTAGGTACTATTGAAGCATTAAGCATCCAAAACCCAAAATGCTCCTTCTTAGTATATGTGTTTGGCTTGGTGCGATCCTTGCTATCATTTATGTAGCCAAAATTGAAGCTGGATCCTTCCGTGTAATTTTCCTGGGTTTTTAGAACATTGCTAAGTATCTCTGTGGCCAGTGCAAGCATGGAGACAACTATAAGCCAGCTCCAATCATCTTTAAGGTTTTTTTTAGAGTGTATTCAATACGCTTTCACCTGGAGCTTTGTGCTAAGAGTCATGCTGAGTTTTGAGAGTTCGTCTCTCTCAATTTCACAAAGCCAGCCCTGGGGAGGTAGAGTCTGTCATCCCTTGGCTCATCTGTTGCATTTCCTAGATTGTGTAAGGCATGGGTTGAAATTCTCCTCCTTATCCTACTCTCTGGATGCCAAACAAAAACTTCCACTCTCTGCCCCTCAAAACAGATGTAAAAGAACACCAGTGTGTATGGTAGACCTAGGCCTCCCAATTTATCTGTATAGAAAACTCCCTGTGGAGTGTCTGAACTGCCCTCACCCTGAGTGGCTCAGCAGGACCACAGCTGACCTTCATACTCTGTTAGGAGCCCGGCCTTCTAAGAACTGACTAGTGCTCCCCTCCCCATACAGTTCAAAGAGTGATTCAGCACGTGCAAGCTTCAGTTTTAAAACCCCTCCCTTCCCCTTAGCTTAGCCCTCAGCCTCATTTCTTCTATGTTTTATGTTACACCCACCTCCCAAGGGTGGAAAGGTTGCTTTGAGGGTTTGTCTTCACTTCCTTTTAAATTATTTTTATAGTTAGTCTTCAAAATATGGGCTTCGTTATGACATTACAAACTCACACATAGACATATCATTGTATCTTGCTCATATTTACACATGTGTGCATGCATGAGCACATACACACACACACACACACACACACACACACACACACACACACACACACACACACACAGCAGTTTCTTGCTCCATGGTGAACATGTCCTAAAACTGCAGAGATCATCCTTTGCATCCCTCCCTTCACCACCTTGCCTTGCCATCCCTCTCTCCCACGTGCATAGCCAAATGAAAGCTGTGGTTACAAGAGGCAAGGAGATGACTCAGGCCTGTCTTGTTTTTATTCCTGCTGCATAGCTTTATGCAGATGACTTAATAATTGTTATGACAGTGACCCTGGTATAGAAACCACTCGTGATGTGTGAACACACTCTGGCCTTTAAGAATCCCAGCATTCCCCTCTAGCTGGTAGGAACTGTTTATACAGTCAAGGGGAATGAATGGGACTTCAAGGGGAGACTCAAGGGGAGTGAATGGGACTTCAAGGGGAGACTCAAGGGGAATGAATGGGACTTCAAGGGGACAGTCAAGGGGAATGAATGGGACTGAAAAAACTTCAAGGCCTTAAGCATCTGCTCTCTTTTCTGTGCAGGGTTGGAATCTCACAGAGTTCTTAGGTGCTGTCAGCCAGGTTCCTTAGGGAGTAGCAGGAGAGGCATTTGGGTTCTGAAGCAATGGTGTGATGAATGAAAGGAAAGCCACGCTGTTGCTATGAGGAATCTATGGCTGACAGCCCTGTGGTCTCAGAGCAGTTAAGCCCTCAGTAAACAGCTTCATCTTGCCACTAGACCAGGCGGGGGGCCCCAAAGTAGCACTCGGATGCTTGTACAGCTTGGTCGTGGTCCCATTGCCTTCCTACCCTCCATGGTTCTTCCGCTGCCTGTCTGCTCCCCCCCCCCTCCCCCAGCAGCCCTTCTGCTGTTTGAATCTGGCATCTCCGAGCATTACTGTCACCTCACAGCAAGTACTCTGGGATAGCGTGTCAAGCCTGGCAGCTACTTGGCTCTATTACTTAAGAATACCTAGCAAGGTGTGGTAGCACACACCAAAAAAATCTCAGCTGCTCAGAAGTCTGAAGGCTAGAAATGTAGCCCAGGGGTAGAGCACTTGGCCTAGCATTTTCCAAGCCCGGGGGTCAATGCCAGTACTGGACTTAAAAAAGTAAAAAAATATTGGAAGCAGTCAGCAGATCTCTAAGCTTAAAAACTGGGTCTCCCTTGTCTTTGTTTCCCTAGAAGGTAGTGTAAGACATGGGCCACCTGCTGGATTAGTGAGCGATACAGGTAGACCACAGGGCTTCAACAGGCAGAAGGTTGTCAGAGGTGGAGACATGGCTGGGAAGATGCCCCTGACCAGTCTGGGTAGGAGATCCTTTTAGCAGTGTGGAGCAGCGTGAGAGCACACAGCAGGTCCATTGCCAGGGAGCACAGTCCACTGGGTCTAAGGAAGGAGGATCATGACCCAAGAGGAAGCTTCAAACCTGAGCCACATCTAGGAACTGGCTAATCACTTAAACTCTCTGATCCTTCATTTCCACACAGATGAGATTTGTATCATAATACTAACTTGGGAAATTCAAGAAAATACATACACAGAGCTATGGCTGTGGCATAGATTTCCCGTGTTCCGCGGGTTTTCTTTTGAAGTTGAGCGCGTGCGTCACCGAACGTTTAAGAGGTCTGTGGTAGAAACTGAAAATGAAGAATTGAGCTCAAATCTTGCCTAAGCCAATCCTTCCTGTGGCGAGCATCTCTCCATGGAGAGAAAATATTAGAATAGGCCATCTCCAGCACACTGGCCATCTTGCTCTGTGGCATAACCTTGTCCTGGAGTTAAGAGTCCTGGGAAAACATATAGTGCTACTGTGACTGCAGAATGTGTCAGTCAGTGGCAGGGTACATCTGAATCCTCATCGACATTTTTCTGTTTGAGGCTTCTTTTAACTCCTGTAGGTTTTTTGCAACTTGCTTTTATGAGACTTTTAAACATGTGCACTAATACCACCCCCAGAATGCTTGTAACAATAATAGCGACAAAAAAAAAAAGTTGAGGAAAGCAGCCTCTGTCAACATCAAAGAGACACTCGGGCTGGCTTCTTGGATTCCTTTAATAAGCCTCAGTTCTGAGGTAAGCATCATGACTCGGTTCCCTGGACCAGAAGGGACCAGCACCAAGGGAGGTACAAAGTGAAGCATTAGAATAGAGCTTGCTTTCTTTTGGACGATTCTAATCCAGAGTCATAACTGTGCAAGGAACTCTGGAGAATGT